AGCTGCTCCTCTACTTGCTCTACCGTTGCGCGCCCTTCCTCAATTTGTTTTTGTGCTGCATCCTTTTCCCTATTCCTGCTTGTCTTGATTCTTAAAATCTCTTGCTTCAGCTCATTTCTCTCCTTTTCGAACCTCTCTTCTGCCTCATTCCCATTCTTCTTTCTCAATTCGTCTCTCTCCTTCCTCAATCTTTCCACTTCTTCCTTAACATCTTCTCTGTCCCTCACCACAGCCTCCATCTTCTCTTCCATTTCCTTCATCTTCCTTCGCTGGTTCATACTCTCCTCTATCCACCCTTGCTCCCTTTTGGTGGCCTCCAGCAGCAATGTGTGGTACTTTAGATAGTCCTAATGGATAACAAAAATGAATATAATTAGGCGGTCAGTTGGTAAAAGAGAGATTTTCAGGGTTTTGATTTCAGCACATTATTAGAAATAACTCCTTTTGAGACCCCTTATACCAAAAACTGATCAATATGCTGTTAAATATAGTTTACTTATTCCTCATAGGCCATTGGATTGAAAATAACATATTTCATTAGTCTGATTGACTCATGCATTATTGCAATTGATGACATTTGTGCTCGTTAGGTAAAAAGTTTCCTCACAGAATTTCTCTAGGAAAAATTGACTTTGAAATCTGCTCAATTTTTTGTTTTTTAGAATCAATTTTACAAGGGCTGCAAATTGACACAGAGATTCAATTGCAAAATGAAAAGAATTCAGTTTGCTTTTTATCTAAAGAACACAATGTGGCGGCTTTTCATACCATACGGATGAGTCAATCTGACTAATCAAATGTTATTCTAAGTTGAATGACTTAAAAAGGACACTATATTTAACACCACATTGATTGTTTCAGGGATAAAAGGTCTCAAAAGGATGTATTTCTAAAATAGCTGTCAGTAGTCACAAGAGTTGTAGTTTTAAAAATGTGTCAGAGTTTTGGTATTTACCTCTGCTGTGTCTGCTGGAGCTGCCCCCTCTGTCTCTCTGGATGTCTCCTCTGTCGGTCCGTCTACCACTATCTGTGGTACCATTTCCTCTTCCTTATCACTCCTTGGATTAACCCTCCTCCTTGTTTCAGTGTTTACAAATTCTAAATTGGGTTTCTGGTAAAGAAAAGGGGAAAAGAAATAAAAAGATTAAAAATACACACAGAAGAAACAACGAAAGAAATGACACATGTAGCATACAGGGCACGTAAAATTTAAAAAACAACCTACCTTCTGCTTGGATATGAGGCCCTCGAGGATTTTTCGACTGTCCTCTGGGATCATGTAGAGCCTGAGATTTGGCAGCATTACCGACTCAATGCGGTGTTTAATCGCATTCTCCGACCGTGTTTTAAATATCTCTGAAACAAAAGAAAAAGTTTTAAAAAAATGATAAATATAGCAACCTGGAAAAACGGAATAGAACAATGATGGAAAAGAAAGTGGCAGAGTAGAAAATATTACAGAAAATGACAATATTTCATGAAAATAAATCATTGCGCACTTCAGTAATGAAGACTCACCTTGTGCATGTCAGCGTAAAATTTAGTCCTACTAGGCCCAGTACCAAATGAATTGTGGTTTTCAATTACGTAGCGCAGCAAAGCCATGTCCTCCGTTTCTTCATGCGTCACGTGGTTTTGAGTGTGTTTCCTGTTAAAAAAAAAAAGAACTATGAAGAAACTGGGAGGGAAGAAAGGAATGGATGGATGGGCCCAGGCAAAACAACGCATAGTAAAGAGGTGCGCCCCCTCCCCTCCCCACACCGATGCAAAAGTTGTCGGCCACATTTCAGCCATGCCAGAGCGAGTGCAATGGCTGACAAGTTAGGCAAGGCTACATCCTGAGAGTGCCTGTGACGCTGCGGTAGGCCAACCCGCCAAGCAGCTGTGTGAGGTTGGTGGCCCACGCTGAGCGAGGTGGGGAGGGGGGGGGTGCCTCAAAGCTGGGATTTAGATCACTTTATATGGCAGAAGTACCGGGTGTAACTGAGAATGCGCAACAGTGTTGCGGGTTTGCCTACCCAGTTAGCCCGTAAGGCGCCATGGCCCCTGCAGCCCTGGCGGGTATGCAATCCCGCAACACTGTTGCGCATTCTCAGTTACACCCGGTACGTGGTAACAGAACACTTACAAGTGTGCCACTTGAGACCAGGCCGTCTCTCTCCTCAGTATTTCGTTGGCATCGAATGTCTTCTTGTAGTTGCTCGATAAATTACACCTGAAACATTACATCAGGTACATCAGGTATATCCTCGACGTGTCACACGAAACGAAACGAGTTCGTGCGAACTCTTGAGCAGAGAAAATCTTACAAATAATGGTTGAGGTTGAGCAACTTGTTGCCGGCCACGCTCACCGGAATGAATTTGGCCGAATAGAGCTGCCTTTTGTCGCTCATTGAGCGAGGCTCAGCGTCGCCGACCTCGATGGTGTGATCGCCAGTGGGGCTAGGGTCTACGTGCCCTCCATTAGTCTGTAGAAGCAAAACCGTGGCTAAACACAAACTCAACAACAACAGGAAAACGGAGAGTGAACAAGAAATAATGAAACAGAATCACATTACCTCGATATGTACCAGCAACCCCTCGTAATCCCTGAATGCTTCTACGTGGAAAGACATGGGATTGAAATTGGACACAAATAGGCCGGCCATTCTGAAAAAATTAAATAAAAGAGATTAGGGTTGTCTATAATTCTCTCCCGCATTCAGATATGTTTTGTATGATCCAAGAAAAAGTGCCAAGCTGAATAGGGAGGGGCGACGGTTAGGGCGATGCCGGCGGAGGCCCGGCATTGGGAAGCTGTTCAAAATCCAAATAAAACAATGAAGTAGAATGTGGCCTGGCACTACACATTACAAGGGACTGGCGAGCAGGTGGCAGAGGGGTGGAGAATGGCGAGCAGCCGGCAGCAGGGCGGCGAGCGGGGGTGGTGAGTACCAAGCAGAGATCGGGCGCGGTATACCCCCCCCCCCCCAATCGTCGTCTCTAGTGAACCGCCTGAACCTGAAAGAGAGGCAATTTGTTTCCCAAAACCCTTGTAAGTAGGCAACGCACGTTGCCCCCCCCCCCCCCCAAGTCAGCCGGACCTTACCCCTCGTGCTCGCCGGTGGGCCGGCCGGTTGACAGACACCCTGTGTCTGTGAGTGATGACTACCAGTCGTTCGTATGTTGAAATGTGTTTTCGAGATATCCGTTTTGAAGGACGCAGAGTGTCATATCAATATGTGGGAGACCTTACGCTGAGCTGCCAACAAAGGCCCTATTCGACTCTAATCACTGATGAGCCTAAGCCGTGAGTCGATCGCCAGCCAGCCAGACTAACGGAGAGCAGAGTCCAGCGGAGACAGCGGGGCGCGGGTGCCACCCACACCCACGTAGAGCTTGAGACTTGAGCACTTGAGCACTTGACACTTCACTACACAGAGCACTATAGGCGGCAGGCTGAAAGCTTACACTTGAACACTACTACTACTACTACTACTACTTCACTACACTGCACTGCACTAAGGCTAAACATGCACGCTTTGCTTTGCAACACTTTCACTTATTGGACCATTTTGCACTTGACACTGAACTTGACGGACTTGCATTTCGTTGAGTCGGCCCGGGAGGCCCGGGCGGGCCATGGACGATGCTGGGGCTGGGGAGGGGGAAGGGGGACGCTGCAGCGACAATAGACTATTCCGCTGGACCCGCTAATCGCGATACTCTCGAAAAACAAATGCACCGGAAGTCATCTAAAAGCGGCTCCAGAGGCCTTATTACACCATAATATTGTTCAAACTTCATAAATAAAATCCCAGGAGAAATAATTTGTCACTTTCGAACATATTTTAGGGCTCTATGGAGGCTTAATTTTGATTTGAAATAGCCGACTTCCGGTGCATTTGTTTTTCGAGAGGTACGAGCGGAATGGTCTATAAACACAGTCCGGGTCGGAGGGGCATGAAGCGCGTCGCGGAGGGGTCGCGGAGGTTGAGAGAGCAACCAGTGGGCCGGCGCCGGCGAGATGCGATGCGAGGCGCTGCTCAGTGATTCCCAGACTGAACACTGAACTGAAGCTAGCCCCGGTCCGGCCGCCAGCCGCTCGCCGCTCCGCTCCGCCGCCAACCGCCCAGCCGCCAGGCGGTGGAGTGGAAGGGGAAGCTGGAGGAGAGGGCCGCGACGGTCGCGATCCCAGCACTTCAAAACGCACAAATAGGTATATGTTGTGAGAACAAAAAAAAATCCTCACACTTACAAATTCTTTTAGCAGTCAGCGACAGCGTAGAATCGATCGTTCCCTGGAGCATCAGCACGCATCTTGCCTCTACACGGCTCAGTCGGTAGCGCGCCCGCTCGGAGCGCGGGAGGTCGGCGGTTCGATTCTCCGACGATCTGATATTTTTCTCAGGCCACCAAATTTCGATTGGACTTCAAACCCGTCATTTCACCACGCCCCTCTCGTGATGGCGTAGGCGTGGGTCCATGATTATCGCTGAAAACGCCCGGAGGGTAGGCAATGCCATCCCGAATCAGGCTCTGTGGCCCCCAGGCCCCCCGTGCTGCTTGGACAAGGCGAGAGCTTCGGAGAGGCGTTGATTCTTTTCATTTCCGCTCTAATTCTTAGCGCTGTTTACTTCTGGTTGATATTTTAGCGTTGGCGGAGGAAATGAGTTCGTCTATAGTCGGGTCAGTTTCAGCTGACTCGGGCCCTGTCGGTTGTAGCTACAATCCTGTAGCTACAAACAGGGACGCCCCCCCCCCCTTTCCCACCGTGCTGCTTGGACAAGGCGAGAGCTTCGGAGAG